ATCATTACAAATCGAAAACATATAGACAAAGCGAAAATAACCACTCTTAGAAATTTAACCAGTTTGATTCCACTCATCAATAGCAAATCCTTGAAACAATTTGGACACCGTAAGAGGTCTACTAGGCTTATAGCCATATCACGTTGAAACACAGGTTCTCATACGGTTACCGAAATTAAGCAACGTTGAGCCTGGACGTTACCTCAATGCGTGACCGCTTTGGAATACCAGGTGCTGTAAGCTTGCGTGTGCGAGCGCTGTAATGGATAACGGCTGGGAATTGGAAATCGAAGAGCCAAGTTCCAATTCCAGTCAGGTTCGTTGAATTAACTTACGTGCAAATAGCATTGGGGAAAGGCATGAATCCACCGCTTCCACCCCCCAGCTATAGACTCACTGAAGAATTCCGGGGCCATAACTCTCAAATCCCGTGAACTCCCTGAGAGCTATTTGACCTCAGCTCTCAAATCTCGTCTACTCCCGGAGGAGTATGTGGCCACAGCTCTCAGGTCTCGTAGACTCCTCGAAAAATATGAGGCCACTGCTCTCGGCACTCCTGCCGTGGTTTCCAGAGCAAGTAGTAGATTTTTATGTGATGGTGTTGAAAGCCTCATGGCCAGACTGTTTTAAATTCATAGTTGTCCTTCTCTTAGACTGGCTGCCAACCACAGCTAAAAAGCCCACTCGGTCTTATTATTTAATCCATAATAGGGGAGCGAAGAGACAGATTTCTACTTATCCAAGGGGTATTTTCACGTAACGAACTCGACTGGAATTCGAAGTCTGTTCTTTGAGTTCTTATTCGAAGCTGCTAACCTCTACGGATAGCAGCTTGGAATGAGAAATCAATAAAAAATACAACAATAAAATATATGTCTATATTTCTGAGATGAGGTATTATGTACACTATTTACATTATTCGGACTATTGTCCTCATTTTTGTCGCCATATTTATTACAACGTTTCAGCTGCTATACGCTCCGGCCTCCTTGAGGTGGTTGAATGTCGAACTGAACCTTTATTTCGCTAATTGGGGTAGACTGTTCTAAAACTACGTGTCATGTTTTAATGGATGTCAGTTATCAGTTATCTCCTGTTAATTCCCTTCTCCAAGTTCTCCACTGCCTTAACCAGGTATTGAACTCACACCCTTTGGTTCCTGTCACTGGATGTAACTAACGCCTTTATCCACTGTGCGATGTGTTCCTGAGGACACATGGCACAGTGGATAATCCACAGTGGAGAGGAATTAACGGGAGATAACTGACATCCATTAAAACATGGTACGTGGAACTAGAACAGTCTATTCCATTGAGCGAAATAAAGGTTCAGTTCGACATTCCAACCATCTGAAGAAGGCCGGAGCGTACAACGGCTGACAAAGATGAGGATAATAGTCCGAATAATGTAAATAGTGAACAATGAAATAAATAAAAATGCTATAAATAAATCAATAAAAAATGCAATATTTCAAAATATTTTTGAAATAAAAAATCCCTTAAAATACTACGGTAAAAATATTTTGCGTTAATTGAGCAACAAAAACAAAAAACAAAACAAAAAGACGAATGAATTTATCTGACAATCCAATATTAACACCATGTGAATACTATTTATTTTTGGAACCGGGAAATTAACAAATGCAATAAAAAAAAAAAAAGAAAAAAAAAAGAAGAATAAAAAAGGTCGATACTGCTCACGGGTTTAACCCTAAATATTTATCATCTAAAACTTATCGCTGATTTTGTTGCTTTAAGTGAAATAAAACAAACAAAACCCGCCGATCCTTCTGAAGCAAGAGATGCTATTTCTGTAGCTTTAAGATGGATGCCTTTGATGAAACACTTGGCGGGAGAATACTATATAACTGACTGCGAGAGAAAAAAAAAAGAAGCTTTACTTCAAGTTTACTTTTTATCATTTCTCTTTCGTATTCGTTACGCGTTTAGTTTTGGGTTCATTTTTTTTTTTATCTCTCCGCTTTTTTTTTTTTTTTTTTTTTTCAACAGAATTTATTTTTATGCTATGATTTTCTTTCTACACGTCGGACTGAGACGATAATTTTGAATGGTTTATCTATCCATTTTATCTTCTCACTTTTTCCCAAAATAAGACTACTTAAGAAAATTTTCACACACACACACGTGTGTGTGTGTGTGTCACATATATATATATATATATATATGTTTGTGTGTGTGTGTCACATATATATATATATATATATATATGTTTGTGTGTGTCACATATATATATATGTGTGTGTGTATATATATATATATATATATATATATATATATATATGTGTGTGTGTGTTTCTGTGTGCAGGTATGTAGAAAAATAGGAAAGAACACGTTAGGTAAATAATCCAGGGTTCCTTAGTATTTTTGTTTTTATTTTTAAAAAACAGTGCTCCATACAGAAGTAGAGCTTGGATTATAATTTTTTTAAAAATATGATTCCTTCGCTACATAAGAGTTCTCAAGTTTCAAAAACGACAGCCGAAACCATCAATATAATTATTAAAATTAAATTGAATTAGAGTAACAAGCCCTGTTTCATCCTCAAGCGAAAATTTCGGAATAACCTTAATAATTATAATATATATATATATATATATATATATATATATATATTTCCCTAAGTCCTATTTTATTTCCTAAATGGGACCAAATAAATGGGCCACACCAACAACCCATCCTGTGAATATATATATATATATATATATATATATATATATAGAGAGAGAGAGAGAGAGAGAGAGATAATTTTTCTCACGTGGTCATGTACGATGTCATAGAACCGCATTACGAATTTGCGACCTGCGTCTGCTATCCCACGACCGTTTTAGTCGCATAGCAAACTTCTATGTAAACATAACAGTGTCATTTTTTATGGTGAATATGTCTGTTGTAATGTCCGTATAACAACTCTGATAATGGCTCTTGTGAGCCGAAAGCTTAGATCAATGAACAGCATATTAAAGAAAAAAAAAAAAAAAAATTCTACATGTTGGACAGTTTTTGTTTTTATTTTCTCCTCTTGAAACTGAAGCCACTATACGAAGCTTGGAACGGCTCATTAACAAACATAATAGACATTTGTTGCTATATTTAACAATATATGTTTGAATATAACATTATTGATAATTCGTATGGAATTTCCAAGCGGATATAGATTCGTTGAGAGCTCTATATCAAAGATATTATATAATGACTAACACTTAAAAACCATATGTAATATTTATTTCATTGAAGTTGATAAAAAACAGTTTCAAATCTTCAGACCGATAAAGCAAATGTAAACGAAAAAATTAACTTCAGGTTTAAAAAATTAAGAATAGTGATTACATAGTGAGAGAGTGGGAAAAAGAAAAATGTAAACTTATTATCGTGTAGGAAGGGGGAAGAAAAGGAAATGGCGTGTCGTCTAAGTTAACTGATATTAGGACCCGTGGTGACCTAATTTAACATCCGGATTGTGGACATAATCGTTTCATGAAACAGCAGTTGAAAAGGAAAGTTAAGGTTTTTAGTGTAAAATCGAAATTCTGTCAGGATCCTTCTTAGGCTAAGATTCTGATGCATATGTATTCAACTTAAATCAAATTTTATCGTCAAAATCTTTCTTATTCTTAAGAGAAAAGATCAAAGGATTTTTTGTTTATTTAAGTACATTTTTTAGAACCCTCAAAATTAAAAAAAAAATAATTTTTTTCTTCTGTCAGCGTATGATCATAAATTAGTGCAGTGAAAAAACATTGATTTGGAAATTCTTGCAAAAGTCAAACTGTCAGATTTTAATTTACAGGACTTATTCGCAAATGAATTAAATTATTTTGGAAACGTTTCTTTCTTTTTTTAAGTAAATTTTTCGTAAAACTATTTGAATCAAAAAATAAAAAATGCAATGGATCTAACACATTATTTAATTAGAAAAACTTTTAATTGCTATTATGAATAAGACATAATATTATGGACACTACTGTTTTCAGAAAAAAATTCGATGAATAATGAATATTTCTCGCCAATTAAATCATTAACCTTTGTATTTGTTTTTTGTATGAATAATTCATGAATATATATATATATATATATATATATATATATATATATATAACACACATATAGACAATAACACCCTTTCTCTCTCTCATATATGTGTGTGTGAGAGAGAAAGGGTGTTATTGGTGCTGAAAATGAAATTGGAGAATAGAGTTCAAGTTTTGCTAACGCTTTGGCGTTTATTCTGTTTTTGGGAACGGTATATCAGACTGCAGTCTCACCCCGAAACGACTCAGAGTACGGCTAGCATGACAGTGTTTGTTTTTCTCCTATAACATAGACCAGCATTATCTGTCTCGTATTAGTCGGAGAGGACACGGGCACTGCCGAGTTACCCTTCGTCGATCTCTCGCCTGACTCCAAACACACGCGCACATCATGTGTTCCCTTATCAATCTACCTACCACTTATCTATCGATCTACGACTTCCTCTTACTTATCTATACATGTAGTATCCTAATTTATTTACCACACCTACACGACCTTTTCTAATTATTTAATGTATCGCATCAGAATCTCAGTTGCGTTGAACCGCTTTTGATTGTTAAAAGCCATTATTACATTCGACTGTTTGGTGGAAAAAGAAAAAATACACACACATATATATATATATATATATATATATATATATATATATATATATATATATATAATAAAATGCACCCGGCGAGGTCCATATAAATGACAACAAAAGACTTATCCTTTGGTAACCAACCAATCATAGTTTCCATTTCCCCCGTGGACGCCGGATGTCATTTAATTTTCTTTTCAGTTTCTGTCTCATCTGGGTCTAACCGCCAGCCTTCTCTGTCGGTCTCCGTCGATATTTTATCTCCATATGAAAAGTTATTGATAGTCTTTCCCGTTGGCGGTTACAACTTTTTAGAGAAGTTGAGGGGTTGGAAAGTTCGAACGGGGGGGGTGCGTTGTTGGTCGTGGGGGGTGACGGGCTTGAGGGATTATGGTAAAATCCCGACATTCACACTTTCATTCCCTTTTTTCTTTTTTTTTTTTTTTTTTTTTTTCTCGCCCGACTCCCAAGCCCCCCTCCCCCGGGCTGCCCCCCCCCGCTACCCCCCTGTCTTTCCATCTCGTTTATGGCAACCTTTTGCTGACTATCGGTCTAAACGGACGGGCTTAAATGTCCGTCTAGGGATGTCGAACCAATGCGCGCAATGATTAGCTGAGAAACGGCAGATTGAATTCGATCAGGCGTGTAGCAACAAATGCCTCCGTCTCCTCCTTGCCCTCTGCTTCTGGGGCATAGATTTTTCTGCCATTACTTGCCGTTATGGTTCGGTGGTAACATACACATCCTAATAGTTTTGAGGTCTGACGTACTGACTCGAGAAAAAAAAAACGTATTTAGAATTTGATAAATGCACCTTATTTTTTAGAAATCAGTTTTCGTCTTTAGAAAGTTTACTTTCAAGATAACTTTTTTTTTTTAATTAGGTCAGCATCAACACAGTAATTCACTAATAATCGATAGACACCAAATCGTCTTTACTTGCCCTTTGGGCTTCGATCAAAGTGTAGTAGCTGTTCTTCACCTCTCTGTCTTGATTCTGTCTTTGATTAATCCATGGAAAAATCTTTTAGCGACGCCTGGATACAGGGATTCCAACTTCTTGGCATTACATTCCACACTGCACTAAAAGAGGTTCGGTAGAATATTGAGACAAGCCTAACAGATGTCCCGGAAACTGATAAAATTTTGGGTTGGTCGATGTCAGCCCCACGTTTAAAAAGACACTGTGTCGCAACTTGCCAATGTGAGGAAGTAAATAAATAACCCAGCCTTCTGTCACAGCAACCATTTTTACCAGTGCTCATATTAATAATAACAACAAAAGTTGCAATATGAGTTCTGGTAAAAAAACATGCAATGATAACAGCAAAAAATTGCAATATGAGCACTGGTAAAAATGGTTGCTGAGGCATTAGGTTTAATACCCAGAAATTCATACACAGATGTCCTCAAGGACACATGACACAGTGGATAAAGTTGGGTCCTGTCACTGGTTAGATCCAAAGAGTGTGAGTTCAATACCCGGTTAAGGCAGTGGAGAACTTTTAGAGGGAAAATTAACAGGAGATAACTGATAACTGACATCCATTAAAACATGAGCGAAATAAAGGGTTATTCCAACCACCGAAAACGTTGTAATAAATATAGCGACAGAGATGAGGACAATAGTCCGAATAATGTAAATAACGTACATAATACCTCATCTCAAATATAGACAAAATGTGTGTGTAATGCCAACGCCAGCGTGATACTGGGTAATGTTAAATCTTTGTTCGTGGCCTGTATGTACGGCATTAAATCAACCCCACTACTACTATTTACCCACTACCCCACTAGTGTGAGGGTGGGTAAATAGATTTACCTGGTCTTCAGGTTGCAATCAAAGTGCAATAACTGTTCTTCTCTTTGTCGTGTTTCTAACTTCAAGAAATTCACAGCTTCGTCATCAAGGAAGCCTATTTCTGACTTTTCCAATCCTGCGGCAACACTTCCCTCATTGGACTAAAGTGTGTTGGTAGCTGCGTGACGTGGCAGTTTTTGTACCTGACACATATGTACACCACAGGTTAAACCGAGAGTGTAAAATTCCTGCCTCTGTGGTGGGGGTAAGGTCAAAAACAGTTTACTTTTGACAGCTCGTGAAACCATCCTCAGCAACCGATGTGTTATATTGGATATTTTCTTATCTGGTCTGAATGACAGAATGTAAAAATTCTCTGTGAGGCGTTAGGTCTGCATTTTAGCAATACGTGATTTTATGACTCGACGGCATGGAATAACGAATACTACTAGATTAATAACAATGTCTAATAGGTTTACTATTGAAATAGCGATATAGAACTGAGAGTTTGTTTCTTTGTGATATTCCTGGAACTTCAATATTTAGAGAGCATATATATATATATATATATATATATATATATATATACGCGCACGAGAGAGATATATATATATACGAGAGAGAGAGAGAGATATATATATATATATATATATAAACACACACAAGAGAGAGAGATATATATATATATATATATATATATAAATGAGAGAGATATATATATATATATATATATATATATATATATATATAATATATATAGATATATATATATATATATATATATATATATAAATGAGAGAGATAATATAAATATATATATATAAATGAGAGAGATAATATAAATATATATATATAAATGAGAGAGATAATATAAATATATATATATATATGTATATATATATATATATATATATATAGTATGAGAATTAGAGACAGAATATATATATGTATATATGTAGAGAGAGAGAGAGAGAATATATATATATATATATATGGTGAGAGAGAGAATATACATATAATGTTAACTAGCAGGAGTCATTCAAATTTAGCCATATAGCTATTCTCTA